TTATTTTCTGGGCTATTAGTCGCTCTGGATTATAAGGTGCACTGTCATTAAATGGTCTATTTTCAAACTTTTTTCACAAATAAACTTTAAAGGAAACCCAACAGTGTGATGGGTGAGTGGTTTTGTTTGTTTGTGGCGTTCACGGTGACTCTGGGCTTTGTTCAGTTGTGGCGTGTAGGGAGGGTGCTGTCTGGGACCAACGGATTGTCGGCGTGTTCGCAGTGACTCAGTTGTTCAGTCGTGTCTAGAAGTGGCACATTGCACTCACTTTTCTGGTTTGTTCCTCCGTTCCGTTCCTCGTCGGCGTGGAGTGATGAGTGTGTCTGTGGGTGTGTTTGGCTGTGTGGTCGCTGTCTGCTCCGTGTGTGTTTGTGTGTTCTGCGGGTGGTGCGGCTTTGTAGTTTACTGAAGTCGTGCTGGGACACCCGAGTGTGTATAGGGCGCTCTGGATTATGGGATGCACAGTCGTTTTTTGATGGGGTTAGAGGCTTAAGAGCGCGTCTAATAGCCTGGAAAATACGGTAGTGATTTGGAGTGAGATGGAGAGTTTGGTACTTGTTCTGTTCTGTTGATTATGTTATATTTATCTGAAGAACTGTTCATATGTGATGTCTGTTGTAGGGACGGGCATTCGATGATATTTTCTTAATCGATCTTCGGAAGAATTAACGATCGATTATCGATTAATCATTAATGTTTTTATATTAAAATGATCATCATTATTATTACTATCTGCACTACTAATCTGCATAAATAAATTCAACTTCACTACATATAAACCGTAACCACTCTAGAGCCACATCAGCCCGTTTGACATTATAATGTGTTTAATTCAGTTTTGCGCAACTCTCATAGAAATCAAACTTAAAACCACATCGTTAATTTGCATAAACTAAGCGAAGATAAAACTACAGCTCTTGTGCACTGATGCGCTTCAACTTCTGTCGGATTAATAGACATGACTCAGGTGAATACAGGTTAGTGTGACCAGATTTGCGTTTGTCAAAACCAGGACACCGTACGGGGGGAGGGAGGTGGGGACTCGTCATCGACATTGCGCGACTCTCACCTGGTAAAACTTTTTCCCACTGGACACCGACACATATGTTCCTGCTTTGTGCACTGTGCACATGGACTCACACTTGTCCCAAACGCAACGGAAAGTGTGGAATTTCTTGTACAAATCATCGTTAAATACACATTTGTGCTTCGGTACGTTGCAGACTGACCCACTGTGTTTGTGTCTCGCTCCTTCTGAGTGCAGAGAGACACATGTACAACCCCTGTTTGGTCACGCTACGCACAGCAACCTACATTTGGTTTGTTGATTAAAATGAACGTAATCGATGAAATTCTTAATGATCAATTATCAATTAATCGACTAATTATGCCCATCCCTAGTCTGTTGTTCTCTCTTCTGTTGTTATTACTAGAACTTGACTTTCAACAGGAAATGTCGGTTCCTGGTCTCCATTTTATTCCTGGTCTGATTTTATAAAATTAATTCCCCCAAAATGTGGAACTTACATGTTTTTTTCTTCCTCATTACACATTTTTTGGCAGGTGTGACTTATACTCCAGAGCAACTTATAGTCCAAAAAATACGGTAGTACAAATAACATTTTTAGAACACAGCTGCAAAGTCACTCTTTAAAAGGTGACGCTATTTTCTGTGTTATAATGTTGTTTCCTCTTCACAAACACACCTGGAGTTGTGTTTTATTTCATTTACACATGTTTAACACACAAACCCTGCACATTTATGTTATTTTTTAGGAGTTTATCTGAAACACTATGTTCCAAATTGTGATGTCATGTGATAATAAAGGATATGCTCCACTGTGTTTTTAAACTCCTTACCTTTTCCCGAAATAATTTGGATAATTTCAGCCCTGGAATTGCAAATCTCTACTGAATTAAATATAAAAAGCAACTGTTAACTTGAAAATTACCACTTCATGACATCATAAGAGGGAACAGAGCATTTTGAGTTTGGAGATGTAGACAGACTAATAATAAAGGATTACTCAAATGTGTGTGAATGAAACAAAACACAAGTCCAGGTTTGTTTTGAGGAGGTAACAACACTTTAACATGACTTATTTTGTGTAATATGAGACCTTTAATTGTTCTGTCTTATAAAAGTTGTAAATGTATTTAGGCTTAAACATTTGCCTCGTCCCTGCTCCTCCCTGGCCTGTGCCGTGTGTGTGTGTGTGTGTGTGTGTGTGCGTGTGTGTGTGTGTACAGTGTATGTGCTCACCACAGCCGGCTGCTCCCCTCTCCTCTGTGTGGACACATTTCAGCCTGACGGTGCACAGGACTCGCTGCTTGGAGCCAGTTATAATCCAAATTCATAGTTCTTAATGAATCAAACTTAATTAAGTCCAAAGTCCCTGGCGTCCTTCAACACTCCAGACAGCAGGATAACCCAGACACGCAGAGAGGACTGGGACTAACACAGGGTGAAATGGAAAACGTGGATTGGCTTTGGTTCAGTACTGTAGTGTTCTCACTGTATATGTGGAATAGAGTTTTGTACTAAATCAGGAGTGGATCAAACAGGACATTGATAAGAAGACTCTGTGGTCTGGGGGTGCAGGGGTTGGTCTTAGAGGTGGCTAAGATGTGCCCCCGTATTTTGCTATAAAACAAAAACATGTAAATCCATGCCACAGTAAACTCCCTTCCCTCTTGTTTTCCTCTCAGGTGTTGGCAGGAGACCAGTTCACACGACACGTCAGACGGGTTAGTGTTGTTTCACTCCTCCCATGAGTCACGGCTTTGCAAAGGTGATTGTTGACAACAAAACCAACAGGCCCTACACCCTGTCGGGGCTCGGGCTTAAAAAGTTACAGGCATTCACCAAAAGCACTTTACAGAGCATTTTTCCTTCACTACACTACACTCAGTGCTGTTAAGACTCTATTGTAGCCACATAATGACCCATAATGACAAGGGAAATAACAAAAACACCAACATGTAAAATGGTAAAACTAAAGTTATAATGTATTTTAAGGAATGTAAAGGTAAAACTCACAAAGTTAGTTAAACTTGGTTAATTTTAGCTTAGTAATACCTTAACTTAAAAAGAACTAAAGTATAAACATTACAATCACAGAAAAGTCACAAAAAGTCAATAAGGACTACTACTGTCTCAATCACCAAGTTAATCATAACTACATAAGAGACACAACAATTGTGGTGTGCAGTTCATAGACAGAACAGCAGCCTGCACTGGCAGGGGCAGGTCCTTTTAAGGTGTGGCAGCTGCAGGGGAAGCCCCAGGATTGGCCAGACGTTAGGAGATGCACCAATCAGCATGAAGGGACCAAGGTGCCTGCCTGAAGTGAATCCACCAATCATAGCAGAGGTCTGTCAGACTGAGACTTGCAGGCACACACAGGGATCATCAGCAGGGACTTGAGCAGATGTGGTTACAGGAGGAGCTGGAGGCCTGAAGCCACAACAAGCCACAGCTGCCCTGGGGCAGACTGACAGAAGGGATGCTGCCATCTACACCATCAGCCCCTCTGACCATCACCAACGCTCACACACTTTCTACTTTCTGATTAGGCAAAGTGTCTTGCCTAAGGCCACAATAACAGTTTTGAGACTAGCGCCTCCCTGTGGCCCAGCAGCTTTTGACAAGTCGCTGTGGTCACAGGTGCATTGCTCAACTCTTCTGGTGGAAAACTACTGATGCTTGTCTCCATGGAGATGGTATTGCTTTGCCTGGAATGTTCCATGGTATGACTTTAAACATATGGGGTTAATGGGTGTTTCTGTTGCTCAAAAATACAATAATTCCATCTGTGAATAGGAGTGACTCTCCACAGATCTGACCTGTAATGTAGCACAGTGCTGTAACCTGCTTGTGATAGATGTTTCATCTATACTATGGAACATTCTAGACAAAGCAATAACATTTCCATGGAAACAAGCAGGTGGCGGATCCTCCTCTAGAAATGTTACACAGTGCACCTTTAAGTCATGTTTTAATGTTGTTTCCTCCTCAAAAACAGACCTGGACTTGTGTTTTGTTTCATTCACACATGTTTGAGTAACTCTTTTATTATTAGTCTGTCTACATCTCCAAAGCTCCAAATCCTCTGTTCCACCTTGTGATGTCATGAAGTGGTAGTTTTCAAGTAAATGATCCAAATGATTCTAGTGAAGGTGTTTGGAGTTTAAAACTCAGTAGGTCACTTCCTGTAATACCACATGACATCACAAGGTGGAACAGGGTGGTTTCAGTTTGAGAGAAGAACTCGGCCTGAATGTGCAGGTTTGTGAGTTAAACATGAATGAAACAAAACACAACTCCAGGTCTGTTTGTGATGAGGAAACTACATTAGAACATGAGATAAAATGAGAAAACAGAGTAACATGGGCCCTTTAAAGGTGCATTGTGTAACTTTTCCATTAAATGCTTTTCCTTATGGACATATTATCACTTTGTCTGGAATGTTTCACAGTATGGAATTAAACCTTTCTATCTTCATGGAGACCAAACCAGACCATGTTACAGGTCAGATCTGTGGAGAGGCGACCCCGCTCACAGTCAGAATGTTTGATTTTTTCTAGGTATTTTTGAGCTATAAAACCAGCTGTAATTGAATAAATAGTAGTAAGGTAGAGCTTTTTAATGTCACACTGTGGAACATTCTAAGCAGAGCAACGACATCTCCACGGAAACATGAAGGCGAAAAGTTACACAGTGCACATTCATAAGCACATGTAAAGAGGTTTCATAACAGCCCAATGTTCATATTTTTGTGCCAACTTCGCGAACGAGAGACGAGTCAAAGGGTCAAACGTGTCCTCTCCAGCGGGACCATTTGTCCACTCTGTCAGCGTGTGAGAGTGTAGAGCAGGGGTCAGGAGGGCGGTGCACCTCTCAGGATGTTGGCTTTAAAGCTAAAGAAGTGGACTTCCTGTGGAGGAAACGATCAGAGAACTGACAAGGAACCAGCCAGACACAGTGTTCCCAGCCTCGGTCACAGACGTGGGGGAGAGGGACCGACTGGGATTTGGTATTGTGAAAAACGACTTTGGGAGGTAAGGGAATTTTCCATGTAGGCTGCAAAAATCAACATCTAGGTAAGTTAAAATGACTTAAATTAAGAACATTTCACATTATTTGACTAAGTTCTACAAATGGAATACGCTTGCTTTTTAAAATTCAAGCAACATTTGATTTTGTGTAAAAAAATTTTTTTGCGCTAAGAGTTGTTTTTCTTATCTTAAACATGCACTTTTTGATCGGGGTCCATCACCTGCTTGTTTCTATGGATACGCCATTGTCTGGAATGTTCCACAGTGTGACTTTAAACAGCTCCACCTTTACATTTATCCAATCACAGCTGGTTTTACGGCTCGAAAACATCTAAAAAAAAAAAAGGCACTGTGACTGTGAGTGGGGTCTTCTCAATGAAAATAGAAAGGTTTAATGCTATACTGTGAAACATTCCAGACAAAGCAAAAACATATCTCCACGGGGAAAAGCGTTTGACGGACCCTGCGCCGGAAAAGTTACACAACGCAGCTTTAAGCGTAGCAAGATGTATTTAACTAAAAAGTCTTCCACTGGTAGATTTAAACCTGTTGAATAAAATCTCAAATCATAAAACTTTCTTAATTCAAGTCATGTTAACTTAATTTGTGATTCATTTGCTTTGCACTAATTGGAAAGTCCATTTGGGGTCATCATGAAATATAACAACATTTTTAGTCAACTACGCACCAATAAATAATATAATAATGATTAATAACATGCACCTTTTTTGCTTTTACCATTTATATTTTTTACTCTTTTATACTCTGAGCAAATGTGTCCATATAATTTCCCTTCTGCATCAATAAAGTTTAAAATTTAAAGACATAATATGTAACGTTGAAGTCATAAAATACCATATTTTCCGGGCTATTAGTCGCTCTGGATTATAAGGTGCACTGTCATTGAATGGTCTATTTTTGAACTTTTTTCACAAATAAACCGCACCAGACTTTAAAGGAAACCCAACAGTGTGATGGGTGAGTGGTTTTGTTTGTTTGTGCGTTCACGGTGACTCTGGGCTTTGTTCAGTTGTGGCGTGTAGGGAGGGTGCTGTCTGGGACCAACGGATTGTCGGCGTGTTCGCAGTGACTCAGTTGTTCAGTTGTGTCTAGAAGTGGCACATTACGCTTGCTTTTTCAGTTCATTCCTCCGTTCAGTTCCTCGTCCACCTGGAATGATGAGGACACCCGAGTGGATTCGTGTATAGGGCGCTCTGGATTGTGGCGCGTGGTCGTTTTTTGATGGGGTTGGCGTCTTAAGAGCGCATCTAATAACCTGGAAAATATGGTAGATTAAAGAAATTACCCAGACATTTTCAAAGATGGACTAGTGCAACCAGGTTCATTTTAAAAGTTCCTATATACAGTGTTGGGGAGTAAACAGATTACATGTACCAGAGTTACGTAATCAGAGTACAAATTATGAGTAACTGTATTCAGTTACAGTTACTGTTTCAGTGAGTGGTAATTGGATTACAGTTACTTTGCTGAAATAAATGGATTACAGGGCGTTATTTTCCTGTTTTCACATTTTGGGCTACATCTCATTTATTTAATTTATTCTAAACCAGGACTAAACCAGGACTAAACCAGGATTAAACCAGGTATAAACAATATGACACTAACAGTAGGTGGACATAATTTAAGGTGATCTCATATAGAAAGCATTTTTCTAACAATAATATTTTTAATATGTTTAAGGAAAGACTGGGCTTTTTTATTGTCTTTTAGCAGATAAAACATCTTATGTTAACATCTTCCTAGTCTTTGCGTCTCTACATTAAACACAAACCTGTTCATGGAGACTTGGGCTGAACAGGCAATTTGAAGAGAACAAACAAGAATTTTCAGGATGTGGTTGCTACATCCATGTAGTTTTAAAAAGCATGACAATATCAAGTAATCCAAAGTATTCAGATTACATTACTCACTTTAAATCATTTAATGGATTAAGTTACAAACTACATTTTGGGGTATGTAATCTGTAATCTGTAGGGGAATACATTTTAAAAGTAACCTTCCCAACACTGCCTATATTACTCAAAATGGACTCTTGTGAGCTTTAAGACGTGTTCTAGCTCTGTTACCTCCACAAAAACAGACCTGGAGTTGTGTTTTGTTTCACTGACAATATAATTCTGTTGCTTTCTTCAGATACTTCAGTCTCCCAATGGATCCTGGATAACGTCAAACCCCTCAAACCTCCGATCACATCTCCAGCCGTTTCGCAAGACCATGCATACCGACGTGGCTCTGCCTGACCGTCTCAAATGAATTCTACCGAGCCAGATCTCTTCAATGCAACCCATTCCGCCAACATGTCCAACGGGACCTGCAACCTCCCCCTGGACACGGACTGCTTTGGGTTAACCTGCATCTACGGCCTTATCTTCTCCATCGGCCTGCCCAGCAACCTCCTGTCCTTATGGGGACTCTACCATCTCGGTCGGTCGGGCGGGGGAGGATGCCAGCTCGTCTACATCCTCAACTTACTTTTATCGGACCTGCTTCAACTTTTAACGCTACCTCTTTGGATTCTGTACCTGCGTGGTGGTCACCGGTGGCCTTACGGACAGCTCACGTGCGAACTGGTGGGCTATGTCTTTTACGTCAACGTGTACGCCAGCGTCATGTTCCTGTGCCTGATCGCGCTGGACCGCTGCCTGGCGATCGTGTACCCGCTGAGTAGCCGGCGGGTGCGTACGGTCCGGGTGGCGGCGGCGATGGGAATAGCGGTGTGGAGTTTGACCTTTTTGTTCTGCCTGTGCGGGCTGCTGCCGTCGGTGTTCGATGAGGAGAGGTTGCTGTGTCTGGAGCAGTATCCCGTCACGTCCAGGTTCGCTCACTTCATGATCACGACGGTGGTTCTGGGGTTCATGCTGCCGTGTGGAATTCTGGGGTAAGTCAATAGCAGAAAACGTTCTAAACCTACTAATGTTATAAATAGCGATGGGTGAATGGAGCGTCGTGAAGCACTGACACCTCAGTCGCAATATTGTCTCAAATGGTTCGACGTGTCTGAGGCCTCGGAGAAACACTGACCTCTAGTGGACAAATTTAACAATAAGACAAGACTTGTGCATACATCGTACCTAACAACAATAATGATGATTTTAAATAATATGTAAAGAGCAACATAAATAGCAGCTGTAAATAAGAAAACAGGTTATCTTGTTAGGTGGAATTAGATCAAAGTGATCCCAAACCATGGATCGCTTTTTTCCACTTGAAGATGCCATCGAAAATGAAACAAATGCCAAAAGTCACCAAAATCACCACTAACGTCACACAATAATCCTCACTACACTGAAAAAAAAAAAGGTTGCTGGATTTGCGTAAAAAAGTTATGGAAAGCGGTTGATTGCAATAAAATTATGTTTAGGCTTTGAAACTTATTTCGATCCCCTTTACACATATTTTTCTCAGAACATGAATGTCACTTTTTCATGTTGATGAAATTTGATCAAATCATGCTGAATATGCAGATTTATCTTATGTTACCTTATCGTGAAATGTATAAATATGTATAATTTAATTTAATTGATCTAATTCTGTAAAAGAATACCAAAACAGTCTTTAGTTTTCCACAGTTCTGTATTGTCTTAAACAGAATTAAACACACAGAGAGAGACACACAAGTACAGAGACACACAGTTTGGAGCTGGACAGTGTGAAGATTTATTCCAGTGAAGAAGCTCTGGTCTCTGTGGACACAGGAATAACACATGATGATGATCTACTCTATTGTACAGAGTAGACATCCTACCTGTCCATCTGCTCACGTCAGCGCACTGCTCCTCGCCTTTTCACGCTCTCGCTCTTTCCCGGGTAAAGCGCACAGGCTCCTGCCACAATTCGCAGATTAGAAGGACAAGACAAAACGCGAAGCAAAAACTGATCTAAATTTATGTTAGAGTGTTGGCACAGAGCAGCAACAGGAGCCAACAGCACAGAGCAGATCTACCGCGACATGTGGCCTAAAGTTTGCCTAATAAACGTGCACAAATACATCTGGGTTTGGTTTGGTAAATGTGCAGAGGCTAAATCCCACTGTAAAACTCGTACTAACCATGTAACTCCAGTTAGGAACTTAAAAAAACAGGTTTAAAAATCCTAATCACTGTCTTCACTTTTTTCAGTTTTCTGTAAAGTGCTATTGAAAGTTCTCTTAAGTCCAGTACAGTTTACTTGACTTTGTAGTCGGTTGATCATTTTTGACTTGGACATTTTATAAGTAGCTCGCATGCTGAAAAACAGTGGGCGCCCCTGATTCAAGTAATTACAAACATGTAAAAAGTTTAATTGTGTTGTGCAGTTTTATCTCATGATGTTATGCAAGATACCTCAAAATGTGTTGTACATGTAAGAATTCATAATACATTTACAAATAAATATATGTTTAACATTTTTGTATTAGGTGGTAGATCTTTCAGACACGACCATTTTAAAAGTAGCTCACATACTGAAAAAGCCTGAGCAGCCCTGGTCTAGAAGCTCAGTTTTTCCTTGCCACTCTTAAACCACTAAAACCAGTAAAGTCAAGTAAAAGCAAACCTATAGAAAAGCAATAAATAAAATCTTAAAAAAAAATTTTTTAAATAGTAATAAATTAATTTTAAAAAATAAATTAATAAAAAGACACAGAGGACTACAAAACTCACATGTTTGTAGAACTCGGTTCTACAAGTGGGGCCCAGTCAAGCAGAAGTAAACAGCAAGGCCAAAAATTCAAGTTAATGCATCTGATATAAAAATATATTGAACAGATACATATGTACTCTAGTTTATGAAACTGTTGACCTTTTTTCTGTACCATTTTTGGTTCTAAAGTTCCATACGTTTAAACAGACCATGTATGAAACATGGAACAAAAATTATTTCCCAAATTTCAAAGACCTGCAAATCATGTCAATAAATGGATGTATTTCATCATATCTTGTGTTATTCCATCTTTGAACTGCTGATGAAGGGACAGGATTTTTCCCAAAAAATTATTTAAAATGATAAAAATTAGCTTGGAAGGACTGACATATTTTATAGAAATAGTTTCCTTTTCATTTTGAAGTAATTTTAAAGTATTTGGAAGAAAAAAGCAACAAAATCCTGCACCTTCTACTTGTTTGCACAATTTTCCTTCCGTTACTTTTCCCTCCGTTACCATGACCTTTCTTAATAAAAAATCTCATTACTCAAGAGGTTTTTCAACCTAATCTTGTACCATATGGTAGAAAACTATATGAAGCAAATATTCAAACCAGTTTGTTAAGGATATGGAAGTGAGAACCAAGAGTTATCACTGTTTGGATTTATTGCCCAAAAAGTGCTGCATATTTCATTCCCTCCGTTACCGACATGAGTTTTTAAATTTTTTTGTCAACAACTTGAAAGAATATCACAGGTTTAACTTGACCCTGTTGGAGTGTAACTCTTTCCTACATTCTGATACTTTACTTATTTCAATAGTCCCTCTAGTTTCTGAATAAGAGACATTTGAATGTCAAAAATCTGCCCCTGTTTCCCTCCGTTACCACTTGACCAGACCCAAGTGACAAAAACTTTATGTAGACAATAGGAAATGATTAGAACATTGGTGTTTCTTGGAGCGCTCCTTCAGATAGGATTTAGTTTGTCTCATTTTGGTGTTTTGTTCCAAAAAAAAGCTAATTTTGTGCATATTTAATATTTTGTCCTTTGAATTAAATCAGCTTATAAATCAGATGTTACGTGCTGACAGTTAAAGCTTAAAGGGTTTAGGTTAGGTTATTTTCTGATCTATGTTCTGTTGTTTCCTCATCACAAACAGACCTGGAGTTGTGTTTTGTTTCATTCACATGTTTAACACACAAGTCTTGCAGAAGAGGAAAACACTGGTCCACCTTGTGATGTCGTGGTAATACAAGTGCCCACTTCCTTCACTAGAATCATTTGATGGTTTCAGTCCTGGAATTTCCGATCTCCACTGAACTAAAGGTAAAAGGTACCTGTTCACTTGAAAACTCACTTCATGACATCATGTTACGGCCCCAGGCCTTAGTTTGTTTGTTTGTGTGTGTAGTTTAGTTCAGTTTTGTTTTGTGCCTTATTTGATTTGGTCACTCGATTCTGTTTGTGGGTTTATGTGGTTTAATTTGGGGAACTTGTGTTTTAGTTTAGTGTGTGTCCCTAAGTTTTATCACTCTTTTTTTGTAAGCCTGCGTGACCCCTTTTCTGGCACAAAACTCTGTTTATTCTGTTGTTCTGTTTCTTTGTTTAGGTTGCTTTCTGTATATTTTACTCTTTTGTTAATTTACCTGTACATTCCTGTTAATTAATTAGTTAATTTATTCCATTTTACATCTTGGTTTTATTTTTGTTACTTCCCTCACCCCAAACGAGCTGGGTCGTAACACATCACAAGGTGGAACAGAGCATTTTGAGCTTTGGAGATGTAAACAGAATAACAGAGAGTTACTCAAACATGTGTGAATGAAACAAAACACAGCTCCAGGTCTGTTTTTGATGAGGGAACAACATTCTAACATGACATAAAGCCCCCAAGAGTCAATTGTGCATAAAATAGGACCTTTTTAATTTAAAAGTTATATGTTTTTTAAGAAAAATAAATAAATATATATAAGTCACACAGTCGAACAGAACAACAGACTGTTAACGTCACATATGAACAGTTCTTCAGATAAACTAGAACATAAACAACAGAACAGAACAAGTTTACTAAACTCTCCATCTCACTCCAAATCACTAAATCCATTCAATTCTTCATCCTCGGTGTCACTTCTGAACAACTCCACGACCTCCAGAGGTAAACAGAGCACCGCTTCCTCTTCTGTGTTGCTGTCGTCAGACTCAGCATCAGTTCCAGTTAGAATTATTCGGGCCTTTCTGAATCCCGACAGGATGGTTTCAGTGTCACTGAAGTCCAGACTTTGTCCATCCATCCAGTGACTTCAGGAAAGTTTCATGGTGCATCCTCCTGGTGTCACAAGTTTCTCTCTCACTCCAAACTTTCTTTCTGCTGCTCGATTACCGTTTTCAGCTGCAGATTTCACGACTTGCAGTTTGTAATCTGCAAAATCTGACTTTCTTTTTGGGGGCATTTGTGTTCAGTCTTTTCAGTCGTCTTTACAAGTTTGTTTAAATGTTAAATTGTTCAGTGGTGCAGAAGTAATGGTGCGATCGACTGACATGATACAGACAGAACAGAGGCTCTTTCTGCAGGAGACATGTGCAGTAGAGTGAAGTGACAGTGATGCAGGAGGAACAGGAGCAGCAGATACTCACACACAAGACTAGAACCTCTGCACACTTCACTGTAAACATTTTAATATGTAAGTCACAGGAAACACCCAAACCATGAAGAAAAAAAACCAAAAAAAAAAAAAAAACGTATAGTCCGAAAAATATGGTGCCTAAGTAGTTTTCCCCCCAATTTTTTTATTTTTTTCTCTTACTTGAGTAATTTCTTGGACCACTACTTTTTACTTCTACTTACGTTCTATCTACCTGATTTTGACCGTCTTTTTTGGTGGAAGATCATCTATCTGCCATCTGCTTGTTTCCATGGAGATTTAGTTTTGTCTGGAATGTCCCGGTATGGCATTAAACGTATCCATCTTCCATTTCCTCAGTAACATGGGTTTTCACTGACTTAAAACTTGCATACTTACTGTGAGTGGGCTCGCCTCTCCACAGATCTGGCATGTAACTTGGCCCTATCTCCTGTCTCTGTAGAGTCTGTGCCGTACTGTGGAACATTCCAGGCAACATCATGGAGAGAAATAGGTGATAACCCTCCACCAGAAACGTTACACAGTGCATCTTTTATTAAAAAAAATAAAAAAATAATGCAGACAGTTCACTGGGGTAAAACAAAAGTTGCTCAACTACACTGAAAAAAAGTCT